AACCGGCAAGATGCTATCTTGAGAACCCTGGCTGCAATGCCGCAACCCCGCACGGAGGAGCCAAGTTTGTCGAGGCTGCGGCAAAAATGGCTCATGTTTTACGCCAGGGCGAAGCTGGAGAATTCGGTTAGAACGTGGTGTGGGGTGGAGGTCAGGAGACCCCCGGGACCAGGAGGTGAGAAATAAGGGTCGTGTCGCACTGATCTCTGTGTGTCCTTCAACAGGTAACGGCATGCGGGCGAGAGGTGGGCAGACCCGGAGGAGGCTTACCCAACAAGTCAGGATCCCGGGTCCCGCGCTCTTCCGGTGCCCGACGCAGCCAGAGTCCGCGGGGGCCGAGCAGAGCTGCGGAGGTTTGGATTCAGCAGAAACCAAGTTAAGGGGGAAAGAAGTAAGGGGATCGGGGGTCCCCCCGAAACGGGGAGGAGCCCGCAGTGCAGACAGGCTCAGTTTCCTCCCGAAGTTCCGCCCCAGGCCCGCAGCCCCGCCCCGCCCTGGCGTTCCCCGCTCCAGCGCGACCCCGGCTGCTACCCGCCCCCCCACCCCTCCAGCTCAACCCGGGTACCCCGGGGGTCCCCCAGATCCCGGACTGCGCAGGAAAGGCCCTCCTCACCGCCACCACTTGGGTGAGTATGGGGGTAGCTGTTCCGCGCCGCCCCTTTGGGGAGCTCGGCCATGCGGTCCGGCCTCCACGGGCCAGGCCTCAAGCCCTGGGGGCTCCAGTGGGTACCCCAGGATCTGCTGGCGTTCCGCAGGCAGGACAGAGCCCCCGCCCTGCCCTCTCCTTGGTAGGCTGCCCCTGCGTGCTGGGACTAAGCTCTCCCTTCTTTACTCCGCAGGGCCTGCCGCGAGGGTCAGCATTCCTCCAGGTGCGGTGGATGGAGGCATGGGGGAGCCTTGGAACCCCACCGCTTAGATTCGAGCTCCAGCTCTGCACTGATTAGCCGGTCACTTTCAGTAAGTGTTTTTTTAAGCAGGGTAAGCCTCAGTTTCCTCTTCTGTAAAATGGAAACACAAGAGTATGGCACCTACTTCCCAGAATTCTAAGATTTAAAAAAAACAGTGTGTATCAATGGATGAAGTGTATCGCGATGTGGATCTGTTCAGCCTGCCTGGGCCAGTGAGACGTCTTTAAGGACATGCGATGAAGCTGGAATAGGACTAAGAAAACAGTTTTGAGCTAAGTTATACCTGTGAGGGGGTTAAAGCTGTCTGGGGGCCGGACTTCATGTAGCGATCTCTCTGTCCTCAGATGTGGAGTAGAGTCAACAAGTTGGAAGAGCCTGACCAGTAAGATGAACTTCAGTAATGTGAACAGGATCCCCTGTTGCACAACTGTGGAAACAACCCAGAGCGGTTGAGTCACTTGCTCAAGGTTACTCAGCTGAAAGAAAGACCTGGCTTCTATCCTCCAGTAGTACAAACTGTCTTTTGTTTGTTTGTTTATTAAGGCTAAGCTTTTTTTTTTTTTCCCCTCAAGGCTAGTGCTCTATCACTTGAACCACAGCTCCACTTCCAACTTTTTGGTGGTTTACTACAGATAAGAGTCTCATGGGAGCTGGGATATAGCTTAGTGGCAAAGCATTTGCCTAGCAAGTGCAATGTCCTGGGTTCCATCTGTAGTACCAAAAAAGAAAAGACAGAAAAAAAGGGGTGGTGGTGGCTAGGAATATGACTTAGTGGTATAATACTTGCCTAGCATGCATGAAGCCCTGGGTTTGATTCCTCAGTATTCATATACACAGAAAAAGCCGGAAGTGATGCTGTGACTCAAATGGTAGAGTGCTAGCCTTAAGCAAAAGAAGTTCAGGGACAGTGTCCAGACCCTGAGTTCAAGCCTCAGGACTGGCAAAACAAACAAACACAAAAAAATCCAGCAAAACCTGTTTTTGTTTTTTTTTAAATCTAAATAAGAGTCTCACAGACTTCCTTTTTTTGGGGGGGGGGGTCTGGTCGTGGGGCCTGAACTCTGGGCCTGAGTGCTGTCCCTCAGCTCTTCAGCTCAAGGCTAGTGCTCTACCACTTGAGCCACAGTGCCACCTCTGGCTTTTTTCTTTTTGCTTATGTGGTGTTGGGAATCGAACCCAGGGCCTCAGGCATGCAAGGCAAGCTCTCTTACCACTGAGCCACCTTCCCAGCCTCACAGACTTTCCTGTCCAGGCTGGCTTCAAATTGTGTGCCTCAGGGGCTGGGAAGGTGGCTCAGTGGTAGAGCACTTGCCTTGCATGCATGAGGCCCTGGGTTTGATTCCTCAGCACCACATAAGCAAAAAGAAAAAAGCTGGAGGTGGCGCTGTGGCTCAAGTGGTAGAGCACTAGCCTTGAGCTGAAGAGCTGAGGGGCAGCGCCCAGGCCCAGAGTTCAGGCCCCATGACCAGACCCAAAAAAAAAAAATTGTGTGCCTCAGATCTCAGCTTCCTCAGTAGCTAAGTGTTACATACATGAGCCATGGGCACTTGGCTCTGTGAGAGAGAGAGAGAGAGAGAGAGAGAGAGAGAGAGACTGTCCTGGGGTTTGAATTCAGGGCCTAGATGCTATTGAATTCAGGACCTAGGTGCTATTGCTGAACTTCTTTTGCTCAAGGCAGCATTCTACCATTTGAACCCCAGCTCCACATTTAGCTTTGTTGGTAGTTTATTGGAGATGAGAGTCTCACAGGTTTTTCTGCTTGGGCTGCCTTCAAACAGTGATCCTCAGATCTCAGTCTCCTGAGAGGCTAGGATTGCAGGCATGAATCACTGGTGTCCAGCTTTTTTTTTCTTCTTCTTCCTCCTCTCCCCCCTCCTCCTCCTCCCCCCCTCCTACACCCCCCCTTCCCTCCTCCTCCTCCTCCTCCTCTTCTTCTTCTTCTTCTTCTTCTGGTCTGATTGTGTAGCCTAGGTTGACCTTGAATTTGAATGCCTCCTGACAGCCTCCCAAGTGCTGGGACTACAGATATATACCACTATGCCTGGTCTTGGTTATTTTTTTCTCTCCTCATTAGCCACCTACCTGGGGTCAGGGTCTGTTCATTCCCTGAAGATCTGGTCTTCCATTAGAGTATCCCAGTGGTTTCTGAGAAGTCAGGAGATGCTGGCTTCGGGGAAATACATTGGGAGAAGGGACTAGGTCTACTCTAGCTGGGCAAGGAAGGTCCTCCCATTTAGGTCCTTGAGAGGCTTGGAATTTATTTAGGGATGAGCCCAAGGAAGTACTGTATCTGGGAGGGTCACTAGTGCCATTTCCAACTTCCCTGTGCGAGTACCCCCTCTCAAAGGGAGAGAGAAACTTGAGGAATGGGGGAAGCTGATTTGTCTGGTCTGGCGGAGAAGCAGGTGGTAAGGGTAGATGAAATTGCAGAGGTGTGTTCACCTGGTTTGTTCCGGAATGCCAAGAAGTCAGCCTGTCTGAGGTCAGAGTTCTTCCTGAGGGCTGGGCCAGGAAGATTATGACTCAATTTGGCAAGGACTTTGAGACCAGAAGGGCAGGTTCTTTATGTTTCCGGAGCCAGCTGTGTCTTGGCACCGAAAAGCCTAAACCGCCAGACACCTAAACTCCAGGTTTTCTGATTTTCCTTCGAGTTCAGCAGCTTGGAGGAAAGTTCTGCATCTTGGTTTCTCCATCTCTACGATGGGAATAAGGCCAACAGGCACTTCAACTTATTTAAAAATTTTTTTATTCATTTTTGTTGGTGCTGGTACTGACAGTCTTATACTCTTGGCTTTCTTGCTCAGTGCGGGCATTCTGTCACTTGAATCATGCCATTCCGGCATTTTTCTGGTTAATTGGAGATGGAATCTCATGGATTTTTCTGTCTGGTATGGCTTCTAACTATGACCCTCTAAGTTCTCAGTTTCCTGAGGAGCTAGGATTACAAGTGTGAACCACCAGCCCTTGTAGGATTTGGGTTTTTTTGTTTGTTTGTTTTTTAAAATTTCTTGTCCTTCCCTCTCTCCAGTCTTAATCTGTCCTTTCTGCCCAGTGCTCAGGCCCAGAGAGAAAGGGTCAAGGCAGGCCAGTTTCAGTGTATAACCCTGACCCTCACATCTTCCTACCGATGGTTCTTCTATTTGTTGTGTGACCCTGACTAGGTTTCTGCCTGTTTTCCCTTCTGTACTCTGGGGGGCGGGGTGTGTGTGTGCAAGACTCGGATTGCTGGTGTTAAGGTTCTCCACCTTAGATACCCTTGTCTGAGGGAGAAATCACAGTGCTCAAGAGCTCTTACCTAGTCTCAGGAGGGGGGTGAACCAGGTCTCTGGGTACTGGGAAACTTCCAGAAGCTGACCAAGCAGCTCTATCCGGCAAACAGCAAGCCCAGGCTAGTGTCAGGCCTGATTCTGCAAAGCCTTTCACCCTCAGAGCACGTGAGGCAGCAGTCAGAGAAAACCAGAGGTTCAAGGTTCTGTCGGCTTCCATGGAGCCCCTGCTACAATGGACTGCTGGGCTCCCACACAGCACACAGAGCCTGGGAAGGGGCTGAAGGTTCAGGAGTACCCCCAAGCCCGGTGGGTGAAGCAAGGAGGCCTGGAGGCCCAGAGACTCGGGGGAGGAGATGGACCATTTTGTCCTCTGGTTGAGTTTAGGTTTAGTTCTTGAAACAGTGAGAAACTAGATAAAACCAGCTTCTGCAGTCTTAGGTCTGTCAAGAGAGGTTAGAGGGGAGAGATCTCCCAATCTATTTGTTTCATCCTGTTAACAGACTGGGATTATTGTCTTCTCCCTGAAATTCAAGTTGAACATTGTATTGGGATTCTGAATCTTTCTCACCCAGGGCAAGAGCTGTTCAAGTTTAGAAGACATTTTCATTAGATTCCCTGCCCTATAGCACAGCTACATTTAGGACTGAGCACAAACGTTGACTTTATCACTGATTCCCAGCCACAATGCCTGAGACCCTGACAGCACACCACTCCATCTCCAGGTCTAACAAGATGTACCAGGTCCCACTGCCGCTGGACCGGGAAGGGACTCTGTTCCGGCTCCGCTTCACCATGGTGGCCCTGGTCACAGTCTGCTGTCCACTTGTCGCCTTCCTCTTCTGCATCCTCTGGTCCCTGCTCTTCCACTTCAAGGAGACAACGTCTACACACTGTGGGGTAGGGCCTACGGGACACTGTTGCTTCAGGTTCAGGCCTATCTGATTTTTTGGGGAGGGGAGGATTCTGATTCACTTTTAACAGGATTAGCCAGCTCTGCAGAGAAATCTGTCAAACATACTGGGCTAGTGGCAGGGAGGAGGGCAGGGTGCTTGCAAATTGTAATCTCAAGTGTGGTTTTCCTCCATGTTCCATGAAGGTGTTCTAGGGGTTGAGGTCACTTCAATGACCTCAAAAGCCAGACTCAATAATTATTTCATAGAGGGCAAATTTAGGAGCCCCCGGATTTTCGAAGGGTAGAGAGAGAATGGGACGGGACTAGAGGGCATTTGGGTCACATATGGGCCTGTGGGTTTGTGCCTGTTTTTATAGGAATGTGATCATGTAGGGGTGGTGTGTGTGTGTGTGTGTGTGTGTGTGTGTGTGTGTGTGTAATTGTAAGGGATATGACTATATAATGGCTTTAAGTGAGACATATATAGAGGAGAAAACCATATCTATGCCTGGTTTTTGTACTTGTGTTTGTAGGTAGGGCCCATATTCTTTAAAGTTCTATAGATTACTAGCCATCTCTGGCAGAGATATAGGTGCCTGGGCCACAAAGAAAGATACACAAATTCAGTCCGGCGCCGGTGGCTCACGCCTGTAACCCTAGCTACTCAGGAGGCTGAGATCTGAGGATCACAGTTCAAAGTCAGCCCGGACAGGAAAGTCCATGAAACTCTTACCTCCAATAAACCACCAGAAAACCGGAAGTGGCGCTGTAACTCAAGTGGTAGAGCGCTTGCCTTGAGCTAAGGAGCTGAGGGATAGTGCCCAAGCCCAGAGTTCAAGCCCCACGACCGACACACACACAAAAAAAAGATACACAAATCCATTCTCCATATCAGAGTAATATCAGAGTAAATGTGGTGAGACCTGTGTTGACCTCTGTTGTACAATTCATTCACACCAACTCTGTATAACCTGAACTTCAATTTCCCATTGTCTATGGTGAGGCCAGTAATTCCTGTTCTGTTCCTTTCCAGAGCTAGTATAGTGGTCCACGTAGAGGAAGGACAGGAAGGTGGTTTGGGAGTATGAAAGATGAAAGAGCAGGAGGAGGAGAAGAAAGAGACTGTCAGACTGGAAGGCAGGGCAGGAGATGAAGTTAGCCTAGGGGCTGTAGGTGGAAAATAGGTAAGGCTTGGATATAACCCTTGAGCTGACCTCAGCGAGTGCTCAGAAGGCTCACAGCAAGCTTCCTTTATAGGAAGGTCCCCATTTAGTAGTACTAGACATATTGACCCTGGGAGTATTTTAGCCTCACTCCCTAGAATTCGTTTTTTTTTTGGTCGGTCGTGGGGCTTGAACTCTGAGCCTGGGCGCTGTCCCTCAGCTCTTCAGCTCAAGGCAAGTGAGCGCTCTACCACTTGAGCTACAGCACCACTTCCGGTTTTCTGGTGGTTTATTGGAGATAAGAGTCTCACAGTCTCTCCTGCCCGGGCTGGCTTTGAACCGTGATCCTCAGATCTCAGCCTCCTGCGTAGCTAGGATTACAGGCGTGAGCCACCAGTGCCCGGCCCTAGAATTCTTCTGTTGAGTTCACTTGAGGCTTTTCATATATGCTCTCAATTTCCCATCTAGAATATCCCAGAATGGCCAGTGTGAGTCCTGAGGCTAGAAGCAACCTAGGCTAACACATCTATAAGTTCTTTGTGTTTATTTTTGAGATGCAGTTTCTCTATGAAGCCCAAGTTGGCCTGGAACACACTATGTAACCCAGATTGACCTTGAACTTGTGATCCTCCTGCCTCTGCCTTCTAAATGCTAGGATTACAGGCTTGCTCTTCCATGCTCAGCCAACACATTTATAATTGATGAGTTTGCCTCTGCTTGCACATCTCTAGTGATGCTTTAGGTGCTATTCTAAAGAGGTATAGTAACTAGCATATATCAATCAGTTTTTTAAGATGAATACAGTTTTGTTTTTTGTTTTTGTCCTGATTCTGGGGCTTGACCTCAGAGCCTGGACGCTGTCCTTGAGTTTGTTTTTTGCTCAAAGCTAGTGCTCTACCACTTTGAGCCACAGTGCTATTTCCAGCATTTTAGATTTTTCTTTTTCTTTTGGTCGGTCGTGGGGCCTGAGCTCTGGGCTTGGGCACTGTCCCTCAATGGTAGACTAGAGCTCTACCACTTGAGCCACAGCGCCACTTCTGGCATTTTCTGTTATGTGGTGCTGAGGAATCGAACCCAGGGGTTTATGCATGCAAGGCAAACACTCTACCACTGAGCCACCTTCCCAGCCCAACTTTTTAGTAGTTAATTGGAGATAAGAGTCCCACAGACTTTCCTGCCCAGGCTGTCTTTGAACCTAGATCCTCAGATCTCAACCTCCTGAGTTGCCACCAGCTGGACTTTTTTTTTATTTTGACCGGTCGTGGGGCCTGAACTCTGGGCCTGGGCGCTGTCCCTCAACTCTTCTGCTCAAGGTGAGCATTCTATCACTTGAGCCACAGTGGTTTTCTGATGGTTAATTGGAGATAAGAGTCTCACGGACTTTTCCTGCCCAGGCTGGCTTTGAACTGTGATCCTCAGATCTCAGCCTCCTGAGTAGCTAGGATTATAGGCGTGAGCCACCGACACCCAGCTCCAGCTAGACTTTTTAATTTTTTTTTTTTTTAATGAATCTCTGTTGTGCTTGGTTCTGGCTCTGTTTTGATAGTCATGGAGCTACTTTCTCCTTCTGACTTTAGCTCAGCCCGACCAAAAAAATAGGCAGCAATAGTGGAGATTTCTGAGCCTTGTCTTAGCGTAGCTCTAGTCTCTTCATGCAACTGTTATAGGACTGAGTCTTTAATCTCATCCTCACCCTCATCATGAATGGTTTTGTTTTTTGTCGGTCGTGGGGCTTGAACTCTGGGCCTGGGCGCTGTCCCTCAGGTCTTCAACTCAAGGTGAGCACTCTACCACTTGAGCTACAGCGCCACTTCCGGTTTCCTAGTGGTTTATTGGAGATAGGAGTCTCACGGTCTTTCTTGCCCGGGCTGGCTTTGAACCACGATCCTTAGATCTCAGCCTCCTGAATAGCTTGGATTACAGGCGTGAGCCACCAGCACCTGGCATGAATATGTTCTTAGACTTGGACTTGGCCCATTTGGTAACTATTTTCTCCTTCTGGGCATCAGACTCCAGGTGGCCTGGGCAGGACAGAAAAAAGAAAAAGAAACAGTATTGTTTGTTCTATTGATGCACTGAGTTGCCATTAGCTGTTTCTGCACAGCTACAGGCTACGCATTAATATCTCATACTCATGCTTGACTAGATATCATTTGGATCCTCATTCTATTATCACAGGATTAGGCCACTCTCTGATGTAGCTGAACAAATATACTTAGTCTTGCTTTAATCAGAATGGGCCCTATCAGCCAGGCGACAGTGGCTCATATCTGTAATCCTAGCTTCTCAGGAGGATTGCAGTTAAAGGCTGGCCCAGGCAGAAGAGTCCAGGAGATTCTATCTCCCAAATAAACAGCAAAAAGCTAGGCTGGAGATATGGCTCACGTGGTAGAGCACAGCTGAACAAGCATGAAGCCCTGAGTTCAAACCCCCAGAACTGGCAAAAGAAAAGAAAAAAAGAAAAAGAAAGGAGCTGGATTATTCCATTCTGTTTTTCTTTCCCTTTCTAGAAACCTGTCTGTGTCCCTGGACACAGCCCTCAGAAAGGTTCCCACCCCCCACCCCTGGCAAAGAAGCTACCATGGGTTGACCTCAACCACTATCACTTCTTACAGTTTCAGAGTGTTCTGGGATTTATGAGGTGGCCTTGTTGATTCTGGGAAGGCTGTGTGCCTGGGCAGGCGTGGAGAACTGGGCTTTGTGGGCGGGAGGGCAGGCCTGGAGAAGCTGGGGGTGGGACCCTCTCATCTTGGAGCAGTCTCAGTCTGGCTGGAGTCCTCAACCCAAGCCCCGGATTCTTCAGAACCCAGTGTGAGTGTTGCTTGGTGAGCCCCCTCCCTCCACCTATCCCAGAAGAGGAGCTGGATTAGACTGGGGTAGACTGGGGTCTCCTTAATGGAGGGAGGTGAGTTGCAGGGGGAAGTTCCATTGTAGGCTTTTTAATACAAAGCCATCTCTGATCTTCCCCAGCTTACCTAATACTGGGAGCCCAGCTTCCTTAGTTTGCATCCAACCTGGACAAAAGCTTCCTGGATCTGGCCAAGAATAGCAGGCTGAGGCTAAGTAGAGAAGGTTCCCATGACCCTCAGATTCCTCCATTCTTTAGGTAATGTAGTCTCCTGAGAGGAGAATGCACTGAGGGACTAGGCCTCGACAGGGACCCTTATATTTCAGGATCAAGGTGCTGCTGGCCTGAGGCTTGGCTCATTCAGACCCTGGGGGTGGGATAACTAGTAGCTTGTGACCCCACTAACATAGGTTCTAGCGTACTCTTGTTGTTCCTAGTTGAACATGGTTGAGGAGGAGGAATGTAGTCAGACAGGGTCAGTAGGAAGAGAGCTGCAGCCAGTTTGAACCAAGGGTCCTTTGTCTAGGTTACTTGGTTTGAAGGAAACCTTGACTTAAGCTGTCATGTAGCAAGAGGCTACACGAAGCAAGAGGCATTAGTACCCCTCCCGTCCAATCCTGGCCCAATTCTGGGCCTCAGTCACTCTCCTGTGGAGGAGAAATACCCATTCCAGGTGAGCCCTGAGTTCCTTTGTCCAGATCCCTGGGAGCCTCCTCCTTTGTCCAGCCTCTTCAGAAGGAGGACCTGAGAGAAGGCTAATTTGCCAGGGGATTCCTAAGAGCTGTCCCTGCCTGTCTCTATTGCTACTTTCCCACTTTCCTCTGTTCCTCCTCCTCTGCACAGTCTTCCTTTCTTCTCCTTCTACTCTGCTTTTCCCTCCTACTCTGAGGAGCCAGCTCTGGAAAAGCCTCCACTTTTCCAGGCCCAACCAACTCATCAGACCCCAAGTTGTGTCCCTCGCCCCGCCTGGGTCACTCCCTACAGGATGTTCTCTGCGGCCTCCCTACCCTTGGACTCCGATGGGACCGTGTTCCGGCTCCGCTTCACAACTTTTGTCTTGTGGGTCATCACTTTCCCCATGTTCGGCTTCTTCTTCTGCATCACCTGGTCCCTGCTGTTCCACTTTGAGTACACGGTGGCCACTGACTGTGGGGTGAGTGCCAGGCTCCGCAGCACCCGGGTCAAGGCCAGGCCAGGGGACAGCAGGAGAAAAGAGAGTGTCAGAGAAAGAAACAGCACAAGAAGATTGGGAGGACAAGTCAGAGTTAAAGAATTTGGGGGCAGAAGCTCAGAGCATAGAGTCACAATCCTTTAAGAATTAGAAAAATGGGCTGGGAAGGTGGCTCAGTGGTAAAGTGCTTGCCTTGCATGCATGAGGCCCTGGGTTCGATTCCTCAGTACCAGAAAAAAACAGAAAAAGTGGCGCTGTGGCGCTAGCCTTGAACTGAAAAGCTGAGGGACAGCGCCCAGGCCCAGAGTTCAGGCCCCATGACCGCCCCCCCCTCCAAAAAAAAAAAAGGATTAGAAAAGGATTATAGAAGGTGTAAAGGAGTGGAGGAAGTGGGGAGAGAAGAGAAGGGGTTGGGACCCAGCGGTAGAGATTGTTAGAGGGAAGAGGAGGCTGAAGAACAACCAGATTGGATAGGAAACCAAAACTGAGGAGATTCAAAAAGGCCAGGAGAGGAATGGCTTTAGACCAGATCAGTAGACTTTCCTTGGAATATCCATAGCCCTTCTTTGGGGACCATAGGTTGTTCCCCCACCCACCTGCCCCCTACTGGCAGCTTTAGCCCAGAGTTCTGCTAGCTGGAAACCCAGAACGTCTCATATCTATCTGTCCATTAGGTCTTTCCTGACAGCCTAGGGGTAAAGGTTCTATGTCAGAAGCATGGAGTTGATTGTGGACTTGCCCTTAGCATTCTCATTCCTGCAAGAGACTGTCCTTAGACAGTCACAACATAGTGAATTGGGATTCTTTTTGTGTATGCAGTCATGGAGCTCTGTCCCTGAGATTTTTTGCTCAAGGCTGGTGCTATACTACTTGAGCCATAGCTCTACTTCTAGCTTTTTGATGGTTAATTGGAGGTAAGGGTCCTAAGGACTTTTCTACCTGTTTAGCTTTGAACCACAACCCTCAGACCTCAGCCTCCTGTGTAGCTAGAATTGCAGGCAGGAGCCACGAGTGCCCAGCATGAATTGAGATTTTTATTGTACTAAAAGGGAATGAATGCAAGGACTGTAAAGTTCAGAAGAGATACTTAACCCAGCTTGGATATTGGTGAAGACTTCCTGGAGGAGAGGCTTTTGTTGCTAGAAGGTGAGGGTGGAGGTGAAGAAAGATCAGTGTGAATGCCAGGCTGACATTTTGGATTTTATCCTGAGGGCAGTGGAGAGCTTTGGAAAGATTCTAAGCAGGAAAGGAGATGTAATAAGATCATAGAAGAGGGGCTGGGAAGGTGGTTCAGTGGTAGAGAGCTTTCCTTACATGCATGAGGCCCAGGGTTTGATTCCTCAGCACCACATAAGCAGAAAAAGCAGGAAGTGGTGCTGTGGCTCAAGTGGTAGAGCACTAGCCTTGAGCTGAAGAGCTGAGGCACAGCGCCCAGGCCCAGAGCTCAGGCCCCATGACCAAAAAAAAAAAAGATGTTAGAAGATCATTCCAGCTTCTGACTGAAAAATAGATTTAAGGGAAGGACACAGCGCCACTTCTGGCTTTTTTCTTTTTGCTTATGTGGTGCTGAGGAATCGAACCCAGGGCCTCATGCATCAAGGCAAGCGCTCTACCACTGAACCACCTTCCCAGCCTCATGCAGTGGCTTATATTTCTGGAGACCTGTGAGGATAGAGAGGAAAGTATAGGGGGGCACTGGTGGCTCACGCCTGTAATCCTAGCTACTCAGGAAGCTGAGATCTGAGGATCACGATTCAAAGCCATCCCAGGCAGCAAAGTCCATGAAACTCATCTCCAGTAAACCACTAGAAAACTGGAAGTGGCACCGTGGCTCAAGTGGTAGAGTGCTCACCTTTAGCTGAATAGCTAAGGGACAGCACCCAGGCCCAGAGTTCAAGCCCCCAACCGACAAAAAAAAAAAAGAGGAAAGGATAGAGTCCATTGAAAAGTAGCAAGTAGAATTGACAGGAGTTTTGGTCCATTTGGCAAGGAGTAGAGAGAACAGAAGTCATCTATAACTTGAGACTACTTTCATCAGTGGCCAAAGGAATGATTCTAGTGATAAAATCTTATCAGATATAAGATTGTTGTTGTTGTCATTTTTTATTTTCCTTTTATAAACTTCTCTTGCCCTGCCAGAAAGGGGTTTGTCTATCCATCTTGTAGTACTGGGCTAATGGGGAGGTTTGGAGAAAGCTGTGTATGAATCTAGTCTCTAATAGCTCTTAATGTTTCTTGTTGCTGGCACAGTTGGTGAGTATGAAACTTACATGCTAGGGATGGGAGTAGAAGTAGGGGTTTAGTTATTGGGTTGTGTGTGTGTGTCTGTCTGTCTGTCTGTCTGTCTGTGTGCACATAATGGGCAGACATGGTAAGCCCTGTTCTTAAAATTCTGCCCCCACTATTAATCAGAGAGAAGTTTATGAAGATTGACTGCTAGTCACAGAATCCTAACTCTGTTCCTTCTGAAGTCCCCTATCATCTCTGCTCAATACTTGTTCCCAGAACCAGTCAGGATTCAGTGCCCTTGAATGTTTTGTGCTGTCCTAAGATGTCTGGCTCTGCCTTTCTTTTCTTTTCTTTCTTTTTTTTTTTTTTTTTTTTGTGTGTGTGTGTGTGGCTTGAACTCTGGGCCTGGGTGCTGCCCCTCAGCTCTTCAGCTCAAGGCTAGCGCTCTACCACTTGAACCACAGCATCACTTCTGGTTTTCTAGTGGTTAATTGGAGATAAGAGTCTCACAGTCTTTCTTTGCCCAGGCTGGCTTTGAAATGTGATCTTAGATCTCAGTCTCCTGAGTAGCTAGGATTACAGGCGTGAGCCACAAGTGCCATGAGTGCTACTCACAAGCAGCTGAGTTGAGGAAGCAGTCTTCAGAGCAAATATTCCAGGAAGCAGAGGTAGCACTCTCACTTTCATTTCACTCTGGAGTAGCAGAGGTTCAAAAATTAAGTATGGAGACTTACAGATTCTACTATGTCTGGTGTCCTCCCTCTACCCTGTAAGTACTTTTGTTGTGCTCAGTGGCCAAGTAGCTCAGTGTCTTTGTAGGGAAGTCTGCCTCTAATGCCAATACTTACTGTACCCACTGTATGCCCAACACTGATGGTATTTCACATACAATGTATTTAAAATTGATTCACTCTGTAAGACAGGATGTGTTATACCAGTGCTGCCAATGAGTAAATTGGAGCTCAGAGAGATGAAGTGCCTTGTTTGAAATCACCAGGCTCTCGACAGACACTGATGACTCACACCTGTTATCCTAGCTACTCAGGAGGCAGAAATTTAAGGCTCAGGTTCAAGACCAGCCTGGAAAGTAAAGAGTCTCTGGCAGAGTCTCTTATCGCTGATTAACCACCAAAAAGCCAGAAGTAGAAAAAAGCCAGTGGTAGACCTGGCCTTGAATCAAGATAGCTAAGGGATAGCATCCAGGCTGAATTCAACACGCACGCACGCACGCACGCACGCACGCGCACACACACACACACACACACACACACACACCCCTACTGAAGGCAGAGCTGGGATCCAAAGCCCCCACACTACTGTTTGGGAATGAGCCTGGTTTCAAGCCATAGTACCTCAAACATGATCTTGAGGGCAGTGCTTTCTCTTGGAGAACTCTGCACTTAGCTTCTTCTAACAGTGCTGAAGAGAACCTAGCTCCTTTTTTGTGAGCTGTGAAGTGCCTGGCCAACCCTCCATCATGGCTCAATATGAGTTACCTCCCATATTTCTTACTTTCTTAGCTTCCAGATACCCATTCGATATTTCCATTGAAAGAAAGGAAGGGATCTATCTCTGAACACCAGTCCCTCCATAAATATAACAGGATCATTCCTTTGCTGGGTTGCTGGGCTCCAGCACTGCCCTGGTCTAAAAATAATCTATGGAAAGTGTGAGTATTGGATTGGCAGCTTCCTGTTGAGGTATTTAAAAAGTGCCGATTCTCAGGTTCAAGATTTGCATTTTCACACAGTCCCTTAGTGAATTATGTGTATTTTAAAATTTGCAAAGCACTGGCTTTCCCGGCCCCATCTGAACTACCCCATTTGTCCACCTCTTAGCTAAGCAATACCAGTCCTGCTTGTCCTCTTTCATATTTTACTCTTGTTGATAGTGGGACTTGAACTCAGAGCCTGGACATTATCCCTTAGCTTTTTCACTCAAAGCTGGTGCTTTGCCACTTGAGCCATAGCTCTACTTCTGTACTTTTGGTGGTTAATTGGAGATAAGAGTCATACCAGTTGTTCTACTTTGAACCTTGATCTTCAGATCTCAGCTTCCTGAGTAGCTAGGATTATAGGTGTGAGCTACTAGCCCCAGCTCTTCCTCTCTTGAAGAGTGAGGCTACAGCTGGGCATTGGTGGCTCATGTCTGTAATCCTAGCTACTCAGGAGGCTGAGATCTGAGGATCACGGTTCAAATTCAGCCTAGGCAGGAAACTCTGTGAGACTCTTATCTCCAATAAACTACTCAAGAAGAGGAGCTGTGGCTCCAGTGGTAGAGCATTTGCCTTGAGCTGAAGAGCTGAGGGACAGCGCCCAAGCCCAGAGATCAAGCCCCATGACCAACAGAAAAAAAAAAAAAAAAAGGGAGGCTACAGCACCTTAAGGAATGAGTTTCAAAGATGAATAGAGATGATGCATAAGACCAGGGACTTCTCAAACTATATGGAAAGTTAGGATCACTCAAGTCCTTAAACCTGACCAGGATAGGGGTAGTCTTTGGCCTAGCTCCCAGGATCTCACAGTACTCAGGGGAATGAATGAAGCGGGGAGCTGTAAAAATACCAGTTCAGGTGGGTAGCAGTACTTTTCTAAAGGTCAGGTGTTCTAGGACTCATCTTTGTGACTCATCTTTGTCCTCAGGATTGAATCTAGTGTGTTGGGATTCCAGAGACTCCCACAGGATCTTCTCTTAGGCCAGCTATGAGCTACCAGCCTGCCCAAACACACAGGTTCCAGTTTGGGGTTAGATAGACAAGGCCTACTCTGCCCCTGGACAAATCCTGGTCTGTTTGGGAATGAGAATCAAGCACAGTGGCTACAGGCAGGATTTGGGAGAGCTCTAGATGTGGCCTGAAGGACTCCTGGGAAGGGAAGGGGCTGAGACAGCCTTCCTGAAGGTCATTGACTTTGAAGACAGATGGGGAGGAGAAGGGTCTCCCTGTGCGAGGGGACTGGAGGGGCTGGTGGAGGCTATACCTAGACCCCCTCATAACTCTCTCTAGGTGCCCAATTACCTGCCGTCAGTGAGCTCGGCCATCGGCGGGGAGGTGCCCCAGCGCTACGTGTGGCGCTTCTGCATCGGCCTACACTCAGCACCCCGCTTCTTGGCGGCCTTTGCCTACTGGAACCACTACCTCAGCTGTGCCTCACCATGTCCTGGCTACCGCCAGCTCTGTCGCATCAACTTTATCCTCAATGTCATCGAGAACCTCGCACTGCTAGTGCTCACCTATGTCTCCTCCTCCGAGGACTTCAGTGGGTGCCCAGATGAGACAGGGGGAGGGAGGGAGAAGGGTTGGTAAAGGGGGGAACCAGGAACACATCCTGTTCCTTCCCACACATGGTCCTTCGTGCGTAGGGGTGAGGGCGCTGCCCGCTATGAGCCCTCTCCACCCTCCTTTTCTCCCCTCCAGCCATCCACGAAAATGCTTTCATTGTGTTCATCGCAGCATCTCTCAGTCACATGCTCCTCACCTGCATTCTCTGGCGGCTCACCAAGAAGCACACAGTAAGTCAGGAGGTACGGCCTGCCCCACCTGGGCACCAGGTGGCCCAGTTCAAATCAAGGACATCTATCCTCAGGATACCGGTAATGACAAGATGGGCACTGGATTCCATTGGGTACCTTGGCAGAGGACTGGGTGGGGGACAAGTAGAAGGGATTGACTTGTCAAAGTCCAGGACTGTGTTTGGGCAGTATGGGAGAAGAGATGAGAGGCTCCAAATGGGGGTAGAGAGATAACAGCCAGGCCCCTGTGGGTTAGGAACACTGTGTTGTAGAAGTAATACCCCACCCACTTATCTTCCTTTCTTTCCACAGTACCTGGAGGTGTTGGTTGGTGGGTCATTCTGTGTGCTTTTTTTTTTTTTTTTTTTGGTGCCAGTTCTAGGGCTTAAACTCAGGGCCTGAGTGCTATCACTTAGCTTTTTTTTTTTTTACTCAAGACTAGCTGTAGGGGCTGGGATGTAGCTTATTGGCAAAGCACCTGCCTAGCAAGTGCAATGTCCTGGGTTTGATCCCCAGTATCAAAAAAGACAAAAAAAATAAAGTAAAAAAAAAAAAAACCCCAAACAAAGACTAGCTGTCTAATCATTCGAGCCACAGCTTGCTTCACTTCCAAATTTTTGGTGGCTAATTGGAGATAAGAGTCTCTCACTGACTTCTCTGCCCAGGCAGGCTTTGAACCATTATCCTCAGATCTCAGCCTGCTGAACAGCTAGAATTATAGATGTGAGCCTGTCATACTTTAGAATTATAGATGTGTGCCTGTCATACTTTAAGTACTTCTTTTTTTTTGGGGGGGGGGTCCGGTTGTGGAGCTTGAACTCTGGGCCTGGGTGCTGTCCCTCAGCTCTTTAGCTCAAGTCTAGCACTCTACCACTATGAGCCACTGCGCCACTTCTGGCTTTTTTCTTTTTGCTTATGTGGTGCTGAGGAATGGAACCCAGGGCCTCAGGCATGCAAGGCAAGCACTCTACCACTGAGCCACCTTCCCAACCCATTTTAAGTACTTTTAATACTCTTATCTCCCTGAAATGGGAGGGGAGAGATGCCACTGCTCCTCATCATTCCCCGAATGCAGGGATGTGAAGATGCTTATCACTCCCGCTGCCTGTGCCCCATGTTCCGTGACTGCTGTGGGAACTAAGGGAGGAAGGCCTGGTCCCTTAGAAGCTGGGGTGAGAGGGAAGGCTACCCATATATACCCAACAAGCACAGTGTGATCAGATAGCTCCTCTTCCAGGATCGCAAGTCCTACAGCTGGAAACAACGGCTCTTCATCATCAACTTTGTCTCCTTCTTCTCGGCATTGGCTGTCTACTTTCGGCACAACATGTATTGTGAGGCTGGAGGTGAGACAAGACTAGCATCCATAATCATAAATCACTATGGAGTACTTGTGATGTATTCATTCATTCATTCAACATATTTATCCGTGCTTTTTCTCAGGCTTGAACTTAGAGCCTTGGCACTGTCCCACTTGAGCCAATGCTCCACTTTGTCTTTTTTTTTTTTTTGGTGGTTGATTTAAGAGTTTCATGGACTTTCTTGCCTGGGCTGGCTTTGAACAGCAATCCTCAGATTTCAGCCTCCTGAGTTGCTCTGATTGCAGGCATGAGCCCTAGACACCAGCACTTGTGATGTTTTTGGATAGCGGGCAATGGCTGCCGCCAATGTGGGCTAGTCTTAAGAGGATCCTGAAAGAGTGTAACAGAAGGTTCACCATTCTGTTCCTTGTGTCCTTACAACAGTGTACACCATCTTTGCTGTCCTGGAGTACACTGTTGTCCTAACCAACATGGCATTCCACATGACAGCCTGGTGGGACTTCGGGAACAAAGAGCTGCTCGTAACCTCTCAACCTGAGGAGAAAAGATTCTAAATCCTTCTATGCTGCTAGGAAAAGGTATACAACTGTTTAGAAACAAAACTGGGCGAGGGAGAAGGGTATAAGACAAGGCTGACCCCAGTAATGATGGCTTCTCTCAGCCTTCACCTAGGCACAGAGGCTTTCAAGCAACATCACCCTTAACTGAGAAGCCCTAAGAAGCTAAACTGGCATAAAAGCTCCACCATTTGGTGCTAAACAACAACAAAGTCCTGAGGCTCATGACCACCATCTAGTTTATGGCCTTTTTATAGAAACCTTTGACTGAGGTATGAGACTGCTGAGCACTGGCTGCTACCTGAAAACCAGTCATTTCTCTCCAGGTCATTTACTTAACTGTGTCTAATGAGGTACTGTGTGCATCCAGGCCTGTGGCCATAGTGCTCTGCTGAGTGTCCCTACATGTTCCAGCTCTGACTTCACCACTTTGATCTGGTGTGGCTCTAGGGTGTATACCTTTCCCTGTCAGCCTCTCATTATGTCTATCCCTGTGTATGATGGGGGAAGGTGGGCTGTTAAATAGCCAAAGGCTTTGCTCGTGTGGCTCTAATCTCATCTGATGGAGGTGTTCTGTACCTGGAGGATGACCCATCCCAGAGAAGAACCCAAGCACTGCATGTATTTCCCTTTCCTTCTGAAGTCACTGGCTTATGGACTCTTCCTCTTCTCCAAAGGGAGATGGGTCAAAGGCATAGTTCCTAATGGGTTCCCTGGTGTTTCTCCATTTTCCCTACAGCCTCAGACCAACTCTGAGCTCTTTTGGTTGTACATTTTATTGCAAATAACAATAAATTTTTTTTCTTTTGCCAACAATCTAGGCCAAGCATGCAAGTCTTGGGGCCCACTTCCATAATGGGACCTGAGGTAGGTGAGGGGCTCCAGAAGGGAGTGAGTAAGTCCACCTTGGTCTTATTCCATCTGGCACCCATCACTCACCCTGGCCCCCACTTTCAATCTGGTTGTCTCTTAAGGCTAATATGAGCCTCCATTTTAGTGATCCTGACTGGAGTGATTGTAATGACTTCAGGGAGAGTTAAGATCTGTCCCATGGAAGGGGATGAGGAATAGGAAAAGAGGTAGAGTGCCTACTTAGCAAGTGTGAGGTCCCAAGTTCAAGCCCTAGAACCCCCACCACCATGAATCCTCTTAGAAGTATATATTACAGGGACAGTTCAGATGCATGAGCACCTGGTTTCAAGCTAATGGCTCCCATTCTCTTTCTGAGTCTTAAACCAGGAAGTCTTTCTTCAAGCTTTGCATCTTAATTCACTAGAGCATCAGTGGCTGGGCTCAGAGCTTTGTTAGGAAAATTGGGGGTTGGGGGAGATCAACAATGAAGTCTATTGTCACTTGTCCCCTCTTAGTGCAAACAAAAGACTCCCAGTCTCTGGGGAGCCCTAGCCCATGCCCACCCCCTAATGCCCAGCACAACAGGGAGGAGCCAGGGCCACTGAAAACAGGAGGTTTTATTGATGCTGATGGGGGTAGGACAGGCCCCCAGGAGCACGGGGGGCTGAGTCAGTCAGCAGATGCGTAAGGCTTGGACACACTGAGCAGGTTAGGGCACATTTATCTTCTCAGGTCTATAGTTCCTTCCTTGATGAAGGGAAGAGCACTTCGGGGTTTGGGGTAGGGCAATTCCAAGAGCAGCAAGGGCAGAGGTTAGAGATGGCTGAGCCCCTAACCTGAGAGGAGGCACCACAGTAGGCACGTCGTAGAAAGCTGGATGAACTGGTCAGTAGCGGAAAGTGGAGGGATGGCACTGGGTTGGCCTCTTGGGAGAATCAACCTTGGCCTGGGTAAGCTCATGAGAATACCTGATGTTCCCAAGCAGGTTGGGGCAGGGCCCAAAGCCCCTTTCCCTGTAGGCCTCCTTAAGGAGAAAAAGGCATTCCAGGAGCTCCCCAGGCAAGTGAGTGCCAGAATTAGTCCTTAAGGCACAGCTGGGGGCAGACAAGGCGCCAAGGCACAACTGGTGGGGGGGCAGGGGCAGCCTTTAAGCTGAGGGCCAGGGTCACAAGAGGACACAGGACCGCCCACGCTTGATCGGTGTGGGGTTGAGCACAGCCCGGACAGCCTCAGCAAACACTTCCTTCACGCCGTCCTGCTGCAGGGCCGAGCACTCGAGGTAGCGCACAGCGTGGATCTGCTTGGCCAGCGTCTGGCCTTGCTGGGGTGTGATGGGCGCCTGGCCCTGCTCCTTGAGGCGCCGAAGGGTGTCAGGCTGGGCTCTCAGGTCCTTCTTGGTGCCTACCAGGAGGATGGGCACGTCAGGGCAGTGGTGGCACACCTCTGGATGCCACTTGTGCCTCACATTCTCATAGGAGGGCGGGCTGGCAATGGAGAAACAGATGACAAAGACGTTGGTCTGAGGGTAGGAAAGTGTGCGGAGGCGGTCATATTCCTCCTGGCCCGCAGTGTCCCATAGGTTCAGGTTCACTGTGCGCCCATCAACTGCGCTCTGGGCGCTGTAATTGTCGAACACCGTAGGAATATACTCCTTGGGGAAGGCATTAGTTGTGTAGCAGATGAGCAGGCATGTCTTGCCCACAGCCCCATCGCCCACCACCACACACTTGATGCTCTGCATTGTGGGTGAAGTTGCTGTAGGGGAGGCGGTGCCCCCTCCCTTTCTTGGGCCCCTCTGGAAGCAATGACCTGTGAAGAGGTAAGAAAGACACTCCTAATTAGGCTTCGATATATATTGCAAAGAAAGATTGGGGGTACAGAGAGAAACCAACTCCTGTTTTGTTAACTTGACAGGATTCCAAAATCTCAGTAAGACAGACATCAGAAAGACAGACAGACATTGATAGGTATTGAGCAAGATGTTATAAAGACGCAGTATAATGTGGCGGGAAGCACACAGGGTCAAGTGCCAGACCAAAGGAAAAATCCTCGTTCTGCTATTTTTCAGCAGTAACAGTAGACAAATCACTTTCCCTCCCCATGCCTATTGTAATTCAGTAAGATGAGGATAAAGTAATACCTATCTCATTTGGTTATAAGGATAATATACATTAATACACGTAAAGCACTTAGAATAGTATTTGGTCAAAGAGTATTGTTGGGTGGGGAGGGGTGTACACATGCATCCTGGGGTTTGAACTCAATGCCTGGGCACTGTCCTTGAGCTTTTGAGTGGTTAAATAAGAGGTAAGAGTCTCACGGGCCTACTGGCCTGGGATGAATTCAAACCATGATCCTCAGACCTCTGTCACCTGAGAAGCTAGGTTTTACAGGTTTGAGCCCCACTAGCTCCCCACAATATTAGCCATTTTTCCATTTCCCTAGACAAAGGAGGGTGCCCAAGGGTAGAGATCTACTAGCCCCTACTAAAAGTAGACCCATTCCACCAGCTTGATCTCTCATCATTGGTTAGAAACCTCAAAAATCAGACCGTGTGGGCGGCCACATGCAGAAGACTAAAAGTGGACCCCAGCCTATCACCATGCACCAACATCAACTCAAAATGGATTAAAGACCTTAACATTAAACGTGAATCTCTGAAACTACTGCAGGACAGAGTAGGAGAGACACTTGAACTTATAGGCATAGGAAGGAACTTCCTGAACAGAGTCCCAGGGTCATAACAAATTGGAGAGAGACTCGACAAGTGGGACTACCTTAAAATAAAAAGCTTCTGCACAGCTAAATCTATCGCAACCAAGCTAGAAAGACAACCAACTAATTGGGAAAAAATATTTATCAGCAATATATCAGACAAGGGGTTAACATCCTGTATATACAGGGAACTCAAGGAAACTAATCCCTCCCAAACCTAACAAACCAATTACTAAATGGGCAAGGGACCTAAAGAGAGACTTCTCAGAAGAAGAGATAAAAATGGCAAAGAAACACATGAGGAAATGTTCACCATCCCTGGTGTGAAGGAAATGCAAATAAAGACAACCCTGAGATACCACCTTACCCCAGTCAGAAAGTCCCACATCCTCAAGTCAGCCAACGACAAATGCTGGAGGGGATGCAGAGAAAGAGGAACCCTAGGCTGGGAAGGTGGCTCAGTGGTAGAGCGCTTGCGTTGCATGCATGAAGCCCTGGGTCCGATTCCTCAGCACCACATAAGCAAAAAGAAAAAAGCTGGAAGTGGCGCTGTGGCTCAAGTGGTAGAGTGCTAGCCTTGAGCTGAAGAGCTGAGGGACAGCACCCAGGCCCAGAGTTCAGGCCCCACGACCGGACCAAAAAAAAAAAAAAAGAAAGAAAGAAAGAAAGAGGAACCCTATTACACTGCTGGTGGGAATGTACGCTTATACAACCATTTTGGAAAGCAGTCTGGAGGGTCCTTAGAAAGCTAAATACTGACCTTCCTTACGATCCAGTCATACCACTTCTAGGCACTTATCCTGAACAACAGGAACCAGTATACAAGGACACATGCATCTCTATGTTTATTGCAGCACTGTTCACAATAGCCAGGATATGGAAACAACCCAGATGTCCCACCACAGATGAATGGATCCAAAAATTGTGGTATCTATACACAATGGAATATTATGCAGACATTAGAAATGACAAAATAATGGCATTTGCAGGGGAATGGAGCTAGAAGAAATGTTGAGTGAGGTAAGCCAAGAGCAAGGAGACAAATGGTACATGGTCTCCCTGATAAGTGGATATTAAATCCAAAATGTTAGGTGATACGACAAAATTAACAGGATTTAAGAAACAAAGGACTTCCACTCATCTGGTCAAATCACTACTAAATAACCTCATTGTGCTGATCATATGTATGGTATATATGTGTACACTGGAGGGGAACCAGGAAGATGACACAGAACTAGAGGGAATCAGGGAAAAACATACAACAGCGGGACCCATCAGCTGCACTGGACATTGACCAAAATGAACTAAGCAACTTAATGGCAGTGATGGGAGGGAGGGAACAAGTGGGAAAAAGGGAACAGCTGATGCTATGCAAAACAAAAGAAATGTATATACCACCCAATGTGGAAATAACTATCGCAAAGCTCACAGAACTCATAAATGTTATAGACCACAATAGACAATTTGCTCCAGGAAAGTTAGAATGTGTTTGTGACTTTAACTGAGCATCACTATCCCACAATACTGTGAAATTTGGGAAATTATGTAACCACTTAATCACAATAAAAAATTTGAAAAAAAAGATCAGACAGTGTGCAAGTGTAACAGTGGAGGGGAATCCCCTACCCAAGCAGAAAAGGAACACTGGTGGTGTAGGGGCTACAAATGACACAAGCTTGTCCCAAGCCACAGCTTCCTGTGGGACTAGCTGGAAGCGAAATGATTTCAATCTATGCAATTACCTCTTTTGATTCCCATTAACATTATTTTCATCTTATTTGCATTAAAAAGTGTGTTGTGTATATGCATAACTTCATGTCGTTTAGACATTTAGAGAGTAGTCAGGGAAGAAATCCAAAGACCCAAGTTTGAGCCTCAGCTCTGTTGACTACTACCAAACTACCAAACTTAAGATACTGAGGCACTTTTGTTTTTGCCAGTCCTGGGGCTTGAACTCAGTGCCTGGGCTCCAGTTTTTGCTCAATGCTAACACTGTACCACTTGTGCTACAACTCCCAGCTTTTTTTGTTTATGTGGTACTGAGGAATTGAACCCAGGGCTCCATTCATGCTAGGCAAGCACTCTACCACTAAGCCACATGCCCAGCCTCACTGAGACACTTTTTCTCTCTGCGTCTTAGTTTGTTTTCCTTTCAGGAAATGAAAATAACCAACTGGTTATGGAAGCACATGCCTGTAATCCCAGCACTGGGAAGGCTGAGGTAGAAGGATCATGTGTTGGAGATCCTTCTATATATGTTCTGTGTAGTAAGACCCTGCCTTAAAAAAAAACAAAAGAGCATGCTGGGCACCGATGGCTCATGTCTGTAAGCCTAGCTACTCAGGAGACAAGATCTGACAACGGCGGTTCAGTGTCAGACAAGGCAGAAAAGTCCTTCACACTCTTATCTCCAATAAACTACTCAGAAAAAGCCAGAAGTGGTAGTGTGGCTTAAGTGGCAGAGTGCTAGCCTTGTGCAAAAGCTCAGGGACAGCACTGAGCTCAGTCCTCAGGACTGGGGCACACATGCACACACGCACACACACACAGCCTATGACAAGAACACTAGGAGACTTTACTTGTGTACAGTGGATTGTGTGGGAGGGCCTAGCATCCCACAGAACTGGGGGGGGGCAAGAGGCTGTAGTTTTTAGTTCGATAGAATGAGTGGGTGTGTCAGTATGCCTGAGACCTCTCCCAGACAAGCCCAGCAGAGGGCTGGCCCAGGCAGGAGGGCATGGAGGGAACTCTGGCTCAAGACTGAAAGTACAACAGGCTCTCTAGGAAGGTACTTATCAACCAACCATCAGTAAATCAATGTTCAAAGGAGATGGGAAGGGGAAGAGGGTAGTTTCCTAGCTGGCAAAGGAACAGGGACCGACACCGGAAAAGGATTATGAATGAGGTATGTCCAAAACAAGGTGTGGTACAAAGCTAGAGCACCAAATACCTGCATCTGACCTGGGCACCTCTTCTCATCTGCACCCTTGATAAAAAGCCCTCATACGGTCAAAACAAAAAACAACAACTAGCTAGCCTAGTATTATGTCATTTAATCTTTACTACCAGTTTACAAATAAGGAAACAAATTCAGTAGTTAAAATAATCCAATGTTACCCAACTACCTAATATGAGAGGATAGGACACAAACCCAGTTTTGTGATCCAAAGGTCCTATGTTTTTCTCAATATATCACACAGCTCCAAGTTATCCCTTACCAGCCAACTGTGTGAATTTGAGCAAGTTAAATCATTCCTCTTCCTGAAGCCTTAGTTTCTTCATCTGTATAACAGTAGCTGGCCCTGCCAGTCTCACAGGACTGCATTGAGGATCCTAACTAAGAATGAGAATGAATTTGCTTTTGTAAGTTGTGATGTGCTGTGAACACAGGAGGTGACTGTAGCAAGCTTTTCATCCCAAGAGGCAGGAAGCACGGAGTTTGCATATGTCTGAGTGGTGGCATCAGTCCAGTTCTCCCTATTCAGATCGAGTTCAGACCCTCATCCTCTCTCCCAAGACAACTCTTTTCTCTAAAATCCTTTGGCAGGAATTGGGTTCAACAAGTTCCCATAGTTCATATGCTAAAGCTGCCAGATAGGAAGAAGGGGTGTTAATGCTGAACTAGGAGTAGCCTGCCTGAGCTTGTGTTTTGACTTACCACTAACTTAAAAAATTTTTTTTTTTTGTCTAGCAAATAAGTTGATATTTGCAGATTTGTACTGTATAGCCAAACTTGTTCTGGTATTTATTCCAATTTAATTCATATCCTTTTTTTTTTTTGCCATTCATGGTGCCTGAACTCTGGGCCTGGGCACTGTCCCTCAGCTCTTCAGCTCAAGGCTAATGCTCTACCACTTGAGCCACAGCACCACTTCCAGCTTTTTCTGCTTATGTGGTGCTGAGGAATCGAACCCAGGGCCTCATGCATGCAAGGCAAGTGCTCTACCACTGAGCCACCTTCCCAGCCCCTAATTCCTATCATTTTGTTGTTCAAAGTTGTTCTGAAAGGAATTTTGGAGTCACAAAGATGCCAAAGGTTTAAGTCATAGTTCTGCCACTTATCAGCTGTGTGACCTTGAACTTATGAAGGGTTA